TTGCTGTGTTGCCCAGGCTGGTCTCAAACTCCTGGGCTCCAGCAATCTGCCCACCTCGGCCTCCCAAAGTGCTGGGATTACAGGTGTAACCCACCGCACCCGCCTTTAAGTCATTTTTAATACGACTTCCTTCTAATTTACTTTTCTCTTGTCTCTGGAAATTTTAAAATTAGAAAAAAAAAACAATAAATATGGTCCTTTCCCCAAAAATACACATCCGGAAAGAGATTTGAAGGTTAGATTTCATCAAGCCCTTTTCACAGACTTATACTTATTTATGTTTTTGGACAAATGCCTAACAACAGCAGGCAACAATTTTCTCTATTTGCAAATTCTTGGTATCTTCCAGAAAGTTCACTCGAATTTCTTCAAAGACCAAACAGATGGCAAATCATTTTTATATACATCAACTCATCTATTATATAAATGCTCATATCTGTTAAATAAAAATGTACTAGCTTTTTTGAATAGCATTCTTCACTATTCAGAAAAAAACAAAAAAGAATTAATTCTCTAAGTTTAAGAGACATTTTAGGTTTCAACTAAACATGACAGCAAAGAACACGAGAAAGAAATAATATAATGGTAATTAAAACCTCACTGTAATTTGCGGAAAACGTGATTCTCAAGAAGTACTTCACAATTTTTCCAATCCTAACATCCTGTAAACACTTTTCTGTGTATATTTTCATGGTCTTACCAGAATTTACAAGTTTAGAGTAAAAGATACAAGATTTCAGTTACTTCAGTTTTATCTGGGGTTGTTCATGTAGGTGTTTACAAATAAGAACACAGGAAAACTGCTAATGTCTGAGGGAAAGCCTGACTCACTGCACACATATTTTATTTAACACAGTTATTGTTTATCATGTGCCAGATATCGTTTACCGTGTGCTAAGTACTGAAAATATTACTTATTTAATCCTTTTGACTAGGGACTGGCAAACATTTTCTGTAAATGGTCAGATAGTCAATATTTTAGGATTGTGTTGCATGTGTATGAGGGGAGGCACTAAAGGTTTCTGTTGCATGTTCTTCTTTGTTTGACTTTTGTTTGGTGACCTTTCAAAATGTAAAACTCATTCTTAGTTCAACAGGCTGCCCACTGGCCAGATTCAGCCTATTAGCTGTAATTTTCAGATCTCGTTCTTGCCCATCTCCTAAGTTATTATCCCCACTTCAGAACCAAGAAAACAGGCTGAGAGATAATACGTGACTTGCCTAATTTAGCAGCTGGGAAGGAGCCTGGCTCCTGAGTCTTTGCTATCAACCTGCACACCATGTCATAAAAATCACTGCTTAGTTCTCAATTACATTCCCTTCATCTAACTAACCTGATGCATATACAGACTAAGGCACCAGGGAATTTACCAAACTTTGACAAACAAAATTACAAAGATAAGTAGATGGTAAGCCAAAGAATTCTTAAAATGCTTATCTTACTCTGTGACTTTAAAAGGTTGGAAGATGTATACATTACCTTATTAATATCCCACAGAACCAGTATGCTCTGTCGTTTTGCAAATTCATAGGCAGTCCGCCTGCCTATTCCATGCCCAGCTCCAGTAATGAAAACAATCTCCCCAGCCACAGATTTTCTCTTCTGAGGAATGAAAAACTTCACCAACGACTCCAAGTAGGAGTAGATGATGGTGATCAGAAGCAGAAGGATTTCCAGGATGATGTTCATGGCTCTGCCCTGTCCTCTTCCTTCTGGTTCAGTCCTTGTATAGTCCTAGGGAGGAGGTACTCTGTACACAGAGCTCCAGGGAAGAGGTATGCCCCGGTGTTAATGGGACTACCAGATAGAAGCCAGCTTTGGAAGCAGGCCTTGTTCACGTGTCCTAAGGTGTTGGAAACACCTCAGGTTTTTGAAGTGATGCCAAGTGCTAGCAGTAGCTGAGCTCACATCAAGAGAACCCAAGAGAATGTGCTCTCTGGACTTGTTTATCTGAAAAGCAGTTATGTACTATATTTCACCTTGAAGTTTCACCTCTAAAAACAATTCTAGGGGCCAGGTGCAGTGGCTCACATCTGTAATCCCAGCACTTTGGGAGGCTGAGACGGATTGCTTGAGCCCGGGAGTTCGAGACCAGTCTGGGCAACATAGTAAGACCCTGTCTCAAAACAAAAAAAAACAAAAAAAAACAAAAACACTTTAGAAAAAAATGAACTGGATGTGGTGGCATGTGTCTGTAGTCCCAGAGGCAGGAGGATTGCTCGAGTCCAGGAGTTTGTGGTGCAGTGAGCTGTGATTGCACCACTTGCACTACTGCACTCCAGTCTAGGCAACAGAACAAGGTCTGGTCTAAAAAAAAAAAGAAAACAAAACAAAAGAAAAATAATTCTGGAGATACTGCATCAGCTAATGATCTGTTGTTATCTTTCTGGAAATTGTTTCCTTTTCAAATAGGGAAAAGGAGAATGTAGAGATAAGCTTAAAGAAACTTAAATAAAGTCTGAATGAACCCAGCTTAGCTATTTGATTCATTTATTCACAAAAGCTCAGCATCAATATTTCAACTGGTGAATTATTTTACATACGATGACCATTTCCCTGAAAATCTCTTGAGTTTGGGGGAGACTTTAGGATATAGAACCGTCAGTTCCTTCTGTGGTAATACTGGAAAGAGCATTAGACCAGGAGTCGGAAATCTCAACTTTAAAGTGGGGTGGCTTCTGTCTTTGTCTGTTGCTGTAACAAATTACCATTGACTAGCTGGTTTATAAATTACAAAAACTTATTTCTCACAAGAAGTCCAAGATCAAGGCACTGGCATATTCTTTGTCTGGTAAGAGCTGGCTTCCTGGTTTATAGATGGCTGTCATTTCACTGTCACCTCAAGTGGCAGAAGGAGGAAGGAAGCCTTCCATGTTCTCTCGTCTAAGGGCAATTATTTCCATGGCAGAACTCTCATAACCTAATCACCTCCCAAAGGTCTCACTTCCTAAAACCATCACACTGGGGGGTAGGATTTCATAATATGAATTTTGAAGGAACACATGCAACCTATAGCAACTTCCAATAGCCAAGAAGTGGGAGGAACCTCAGTATTCATCAACAGATAAACAGATAAAATATAATATATATATATACAATGGAATATTACTCAGCCTTAGAAAGGAAGGAAATTCTGACACATATTACTAGATAGATGAACGTTAAAGACATTATGCTAAGTGAAATAAGCCAGATGCAAAAGTATAAATATTGTATGACTCCATTTATATGAGGTACTTAGAGTAGTCAAATGCACAGAGACAGAAAGCAGTAAGGTGATTACTAGGGATGAGGAGAAAAGGAATGGGGAGTTATTGTTTAATGTGTATGGAGTTATTGTTTAATGTGTATGGAGTTTCAGTTGCGATGAGGAAAGCTCCACAGGTGGTTGGTGGTGGTGGTTGTACAACAATGTGAATGTGCTTGATGCTACTGATCTGTACATTAAAAAATAGTTAAAATGTAAATTGTGTGTTACGTGTGTGTGGTTTCCAGCAATCCTGTTTATTTTCTCCATGCTACATTTTCCTTAACTGGAAAATAGATATTTTTTTAAGAAAGCATACATTACCCAACCTCAACCTTTTCTCATACGCCAACACACAAAGTGGCTCTAAGGATCAAATAAGATAATATGTTTATGAAATAGTTTTGCAAGTAGTGAATGGTTATATAAATCAAATAATAATTATAGTAAGAATTCGAATGTGTTAATCACTATATACCATGGACTGATTTAAGGGCTTTACATATCAACTTGTTTAATCTTCACAAGATACATCTGAGGTAGGTGCTATTAAAATCTGCATTGTACAGATGGGGAAACTGATGTACAGGCAAGTTAGGTAACTTATTTGTAAGCATGAAGTAACAACTGTTAAGAGGTGGAGTGAGGATTTAAACCCAGGAAGCCTGATTCTGGAGCCTCAACTTTTAACTTAGATCGGTGGTTCTCAATTAGGGGTTACTTTTGTTCCACAGGGTACATTTTGGCATGTCTGGAGACATTGTTTTTTGCCACAATTCAGGCATTCCACTGTCATCTATCTAATGCGTAGAGGCCAGGGAAGCTGCTGAACACTTTACAATTCATAGGAAAGCCCTGTGCATTGAAACCAAGAATTATTTAGCCCAAATGTGAGTAGCCTCAACTAAGGTTGAGACCTGGCCTATACTTATATTATATTGGAGACAATGTGATTGGTTCTTTAAGTTTGAACCTTGGATACATTTATGGCAAAAAAAAAATAGTACTTGGTTATATCTTTCTGCATGCAGGTTTGCTGTGACATGTATATAGAGCTATTAAATATTAACATAGGTGCTTTAGATCAGACTTCACGCTGGGTTGCAGTGCAGGCATCTGTTTTCAGATTGAATGCCTATAATTTGAATATCCAGCTTGCTCAGAGGGGGCCAGACCAGAGGGACTAATGCTGTCTAAATCAATACAGTACTGATGCAGTTTTGAAAGGCGGTTTTAAAATTTACAGTGGAATCTAGATTATTTTACCCACTGGGAGATTTGTATTATGCAAGAATTAAGAATCTTTGAGACAGTGAACAACACTTCTTAACATTGTTCTCAAATAGTTTGGTTGCTGAGAAATTTTATTTCATGTGAGACATAGTGAGCTTTTTTTTTTTTTTTGCTTGTTTTCTATGGGACAGAATGTTCATGTTCCTCAATTACAGGGTTCATATTTGTCCCAACAATGCTAGAAACATACACTTTGTCCCTTGATTTTGTTGTTGTTGTTGTTGTTTTGTTTTGTTTGTTTTTGAGACAGATTCTTGCTATGTCATCAGACTGGAGTGCAGTGGCGCAATCTCAGCTCATTGCAACCTCCGCCTCCCGGGTTCAAGTGACTCTCCTGCCTCAGCCTCCTGAGTAGCTGGGATTACAGGCGCCTACCGCCATGCTCAGCTAATTTTTGTATTTTTAGTAGAGATGGGGTTTTGCCATGTTGGCCAGGCTGGTCTCGAAATCCTGACCTCAAGTGATTCACCCACCTCGGCCTCCCAAAGTGTTGGGATTACAGGCATGAGCCACTGCGCCTGGCCCCCCCTTGATTTTTTTCCCTAAGTTTTAGAGACTTTTTGTTTGTATGTCTTTATGACATCATTGGCTTCATTTCAACAGATTTTCATAACAAATAAAAATGTTTAATTTGCTTTGATCGCATTTTAGGTCAGTTTCCCACTGATAAGAATGAAGGCATCTTAAATTTATCATTAATTTGTCTTTCACTCACATTTTAGGATGAGATGCTTGCAGTAAAATTTTCTCAACTAAGTTAAAATCATCCATAGCATTTAGAATCTTATTAAAATAAGACATTTTCTAAATTTTTGTCTGCTTTTTTTTTTCTTTCATTAATGTCCCTTTTGAGAGCCATCTGCCTACCAGTTTTAGAAAGGTAATTATCTTTATTCAGGTAAGAATAATTATCTTTGTACAAAGGGTCAACACTAAGCCATCATTTCTCTGAAGATCATAAAGTGAGGAAGTTATGGAAATTATGCACATTAATCTACTATTTGTTTAGGCTAACTGTGGTAATCTGATAAGTAGAGGTTTGGGGATATAATTTCTTCAAATACATACTCTTTTATTTTCCTTCTTGGTGGGGTTCATTAGTTCATTGTCAAGGGTTCTATTCATATGTACTGCCAAACTGATAACGCAGTATTAGGTATTCTTAAAAGACATATAAACCTCTCCTTGAGGGTCCAAAACCCCTATCCAAATACGGAAACCCCAAACACATATTTCATGCAGAGCGTTGGCATATTTTGGTTTATAAAACCTCTTGCTTCATCACTCCATACCAATCCTCCTTGTAGTACCAAAGAGAGGGTCCCAATCTCTATAGTCTGGTTCTCAATCTTTCTTTTCTTGTTCTCCTCATCCTTCTTCCTCTGTTTATTCCAAATTCTTCCTGCCAAAAAGTTGTCTCTTTTGTTTTCAGATATTTTCAGATCTCTCCCATTATAAAAATATTCAACAAGATCATCCTGTCTTCCATATTTTACAGCCAAATTAGTCTACAGTGATTACCTCGGTTTTCTGGCTTCCCATTTCCTTAAGAAGACAGAAATCTCTCGTCCTTTTACCTCTTGTACTCTCTATCTGATACAAAGTGTTATGACAGCTGCATATAAGGAGCAACAGGAGTTCACAGGAAGGTCAAATTACCCAGCCCTGAGGATGGAAGTGGGAGGTGAGCTATAAATGGGGCCCTGAGGATGAAAGGAGTAAGCCGGGTGATGAAGGAGATAAGAGTGTTCCATATATAGAAAACCATGTATACCAACACTAGGAGGTGAGGGATTGTGGTGAGGTCAAGGAATAAGAAGTTCTGGCTGGGCACGGTGGCTCAGGCCTGTAATCCCAGCACTTTGGGAGGCTGAGGTAGGTGGATCACTTAAGGCCAGGAGTTCAAGACCAGCCTAGGCAACGTGGTGGAACCCCGTCTCTACTAAAATATAAAAATTAGCCAGGCATGGTGACGTGCGCCTGTAGTCCCAGCTACTAAGGAAGCTGAGGCACAAAAATCACTTGAATCTGGGAGTTGGAGGTTGCAGTGAGCTGAGATTGTGCCGCTGCACTCTAATCTGACAGAGTGACCCTGTCTCAAAAAAAGAAAAACAAAAAACAACAAAAATAAAAAAGAAGTTCTGTCTTGGAAGCAGGGTGTCGGGTAGAGAGAAGTTAGAGAACTTAGCGAAGGCTCAGTCACTCAGAGC